CTGTGGCCCCGGGCGCCACCTGCTTTCTGGCTTCACAAGGTGCCCGGCTCCGGGCGTCCCCGCCCCTGACAGTGAACGCAGGTGGAGGCTGAGCGGGGCCGGGCTCTGCCGGACGACAGGCGGCAGGAAGCTGAGAACTGACCAGAGGCAGCCGCCCAGCGATATGAGCTTGGGGGGGCGGGGGGCGCTCGGCGTCGGAGATTCGGGGGCCCTGAGAGCAAACTAACGACACAAGGCCGGACAGGAGGGCAGGTGGCAGAAGCTGCTGGCGAGGGGCTGATTCTGCGGTTCTGACAGACTAACAGCTCCGTTGCCAGGCCTCTCCCAGGGACGGACACTAGAGGCGTCCCAGGCTCTTCGCTCGCTCCACCTCCTGTGTCCCCGATTTCCCATTACTGAGTCGCCCAACTATGTGACACGGTCGGTTCATCGACACACGTGGAGCTGGGATCTATCACCTGCGCGTGTGCTTGTGCCCGGAGATGTCAGCGGTGTTCCCCGAGTGCACGAGACGCGCCGGTCACTGATTACACGGACTGCGTTATGGAGAATACCCAGAACTCATTCGAATTAGAAAAGTGACTCAACCTATAATCACATTAAAGACGAAAACGCCCTAAAGCCTCTTGTAATGCCACAAGACGAAACGGCGGAGTTCAAGCTCTGAGGAGTCGGCGGGCAGGGAAGGGCCCAGCCCAGCCACACACCCAGGTGGTGGCCCCGAGAGTCCAGGGCGCCCCGGAGCCCGCCCATGTGGGTGTGCAGCTGGGAGGCGCAGCAGTAATTTACGGGGGGCCAGGACGCACGCTCTGCCTAATACCTGATGCAAAACAAACAAACAAAAAACCCTGCACAGTGGAAACAGGGCTCGCGCCTGATTCATACTGCAACCTCTAGCGCCACTGGAGAGCAGAGCAAAGTTCTAAAAGCTGAACGCCAGCAACACAGCAACTTCTTTTTCCGATGATGGCAATTTCTGACGGGCTGCAGGCTCGCGGCCAACTGCCAGCCCCCAGCGCGCCGGCGGGTGTCCCCCAGCGCCTGCGTCCACTCGCGCATGAGGGGACAGAAACCAGGGCACGGGGCCGACCGACTGGCGGATGAAACTGCTGCGTAAGTGGCCCCTCTACCCGGATCGCTTGAGAGAAACGGGTAGCTTTCGAGGAAACCAGCCAGTGATAAATTATAAGGTAGATCATGGGCATCTCCTTCTCCACGGCCAAACTGCCGGCCGCCGCCTGACCCGGGCTCTGCTCCTTCCGCAGAGCCCGGCAGATGCCCTCGGAGGGGCCGCGCCTCGCGCCTCGCGCGCCCAGACACGCTGCTGCG